TCCTCCTCATCATCACCTTCACCAGCACCAGCATCAGCATGAGCACCAGTATCAACATCATAAGCATAACCACCATCATCAGCATCACCACCATCATCAGCAGCAGCATCAGCATCAGCATCGCCATCATAAGCACCATCCACATCATCATCATCATCATCATCATCATCATCAGCAGCAGCATCAGCATCACCATCAACATGATCGTGGCCATGATCAACTAACATGATCATGATCATCATGATCATCATAATCATCATCAGTATCGCCATCGTCAACTTCATCTGTATCATGATAATCATCGCCAACATCATCGTCATCACTATCGGCATCGTCACCACCATCATCATACGTGCACTAATAATCCTCATCGTAATCACCACCTTCATCATCATCAACATCATCAGCATCATCAGCGTCACCATCAACAGCAACATTATGAGAATCGTATTCATCATCGTCATCATCATCAATACCAGCATCTTCATCATCAACAGCATCAACATCGGCATCAGCATCAGCACCAGCATATTCATATGCATCCTCCTCATCACTGTCACCATCACCATCACCATCACCATCACAGCCACCACCATCATCACCACCATCATCATCGTCACCAGCATCATCATCAGCATCATCCACATCAGCATCAGCATCATCATCATCATCATCAGCATCATCAGCATCACCAGCATGATCATCATTATCATCATCGTTGTTCCTCCTCCTTCGCCTCCTCCTCCTCCTTTACCTCCTCCACATCCTCCTGCTCCTCCTCCTCCTCTTCCTTCTCCTCCCCCTGGCGCAGTCTTGAAGTGAAGCAGAGGAGGAGGAGGAGGAGGAGGAGGAGGAGGAGGAGGAGGAGGAGGAAAAGGAGGAGGAGGAGAAGACGTCGCCTGAGGGCGAGTCATGGTGCCACCTACGCTCGGAGCGCATGCCGTGCGGCACCTGTACCCGCGTGGCAGATTCGTATGTATGGAAGCCGTCTAGAGGGACGTCATGTTTGGATTCGTGAAAGATATGAAAGGCGAGCGCAGTGGCTTCGACAGCCTGGCGACGAGCGACCTCGAAGTCAGGCGTGCCATAATCCTCCGCGCTCCCAAGGCCAAGCCAACAAAAAAGGTCCGACGGAAAGACGAGCCGAGTCCAACTGAGGGCGACGTGGTGGCGAAGCCGCACACACGTAAAATAATGTGAGATCTGGTCCTTGCAGTGAGGACAGCCAAACAAACAGTCACGCTGATGCAGCGACACAAGCATTCGCCCGCTCGTGGTCAACCCTCCACTGATCGTCTTCAAAACAGCCCAGCGCAAGCTGGGGCGCACAAGCAGGAGGGTGGGCTTGAGAAGTTCCCATCTCTGGTGGAGGTCGGGCGGGCATGGAAATTGCCACTTTCTGAGCCTACGGCCAATCAAGAGACGTAGCCGGTCAGGAAGCAACGGCACTCTCAGACGACGACCGACAACACCCTGGATCTTCGGCGTTCGGCCAGCATCTCGGGCCTCACGTTCCTCGATCCTCCTCGCTCTTTCGGCCAGATCCCAGTCTAATCTATGACTGAGAGAGGCGGGGGGGCGGATCTGCTAAGCGTGTCGAAGTACTGCACGATCGCCTTCGGGAGGCGCCTGAACTTGGGCGACCATACGTTGACGGCCCAGTCGGTGGCGTCAAGCGTGCGCCCACACGCAGCATCTGCGGCCATCTGGAGGCTGTCACACGCGGGCTGCCAGTCGGGGACAGTATGGGAGCACATGCGCCACGCGGCCGAGAGCGACAGCACGAGGATAGACGAGGGGGCCGCAGATAACCAGAGGCCACGAGACAGAATTTCAGACAGGCTGAAAGAGTTGAGGGGCAGACGGAAAAGCTTATGGATAGCGAGGGCCTCGCGCTTTAAAACCTGAGACGAAGGAGGAACAACTGGGACAGGTAGCTCAGGGTGCTGGTGGCGTACATATTGTACTGGAAAGCGAGAAGGTGAGGAGAGGGTCGCGAGTAGGGGAGATCGATCGTACGATGCCACCACTTGCACGCAGCCTGAGCCCATTGGCTTTCTAACTCGGCTGCTGGGCCGAACTGGATGCCGAGGTACTGGGTGGAGTCTTGCCCATCGAACGAGCTGCAAGCAGGGACATGCGTGTGTAACCATTGCTTCACATCCTCACGTACTGCAGGCGTGCATTCATCCCACAGAGGAACAATACAGCATTTGTTAGCCTGAAGCTGAAGGAGGGCGTGCTCTTTGATGGCAGCAAAGTGTGGCATGACACGAGATAGTGTGCGGATCTGCGGGACGAGCAGACCGATATCATCCGCACAGGCTCCTGCATCCCCCCGGGTGTCTCCTACGGGGCACATTTCCACAGCCTCGGAAAGCAGACGACCCACAGGTTCGAAAATCAACGCCCAACACGATCCCGAGAGGGGACACCCCTGGAGGACACCGCTGCACTAGTATAACATAAAGTGAAGTTCCCCGCCGAAACGCCCGAAGCC